GATCAGAGCATACACACAGAATACCTGTTCTTCTGCAGATGCACATCTTTTCTATGAATTTGAGGCGGGGTGCAATATTAGACTTTGGGGGAACAGCCAGTATAACCTTTGCCAGACACAAACAGCTTCTGATTATTGATTAGGCGTCAATTCATTAGTCTTCAGGTCATATCAGTAGTTATTGCATGCAACAGGAGAACAGAGAGCCTAGTTATTTACTCATCCAGTTGTAAAAAACTCAATGGAAAAAACACGTAGTAGGGCAGAGTCCATTATTGGAACTTTGTGCAGCAGAGAAGCAGATGTAGCAACACTCAGGACCACAAATGCAAGTATGAATGAACCTCAGAGAGGTGTTCTCATGTTGAGACAAAAATGTACGTGCACATCTATAGACATTTATTTTTACATGGCAATTCTGAATAATGACTATAAAAGGAATAATATATAGTTGACTCATTCAGCAAGCACAGCAGATCTTGTGCACTGAATGCATCAGGGGGTTTTGCGCAAACAGTTTGTAATTGTGCAATTAAAATCTTCAGCAGTGCAGAAGCACACGTGGGTTGTATAGCCTACCTTCATTCCAGCTGTAGCTAACACTAAAACCCTGACCCGCAAAATAGTAACACATTGTGGGGTAATGAACTATAATAGAACGCTGAAAATCTATAACTGAAATACTCACTAATCATTTATTAATATGGTTCCATGAATGACATTGTCATAGAGATAATACCCAGTCTGATGACGCAGAAAACACCTTCTGCTTCAAATCCAAATTCAAATTTCCACTATTATCTCGGCTTCCTGACTTCCAAACTACCTGTTGGGACCATCTACTGCTTGTAGGTAGTTTGATATCAACAGCAAAGCTCCCTCTTGTAAGGACTTTGTTGATACCTGTTCATTTCAGGTATCAACACTGACACCTAGCTCTAGCTCCATAGTGGGATTGACAGAATCACAGAAACATTGCTCAAAAGAGACCTTTGAGATCTTTAGTCCAACCTACCACTCCCTACCACTCACCACCACTAGATCTGGTCAGCCACGACTATCTAGCCAAGTCTTCAAAACACCTAGGGTTGGTTTCTCTGCAACCTCTCTGGTGTTTCTGCTTGCGCTATTTTCACTTCTGTGTTATGATTTTGTATGTTACTAAAAAATAAATTAAACCCCTCTGGAAAATGGCTTCATCTTTGGGAAGGCTGAGCAGTCAAAAGTACATTATATAGAATTATTACATAGAATTATTTGGGTTATTCTATCTGCCAGTTTGACTTTTCTCATAGCAGTCCAGAATAAATTAGGGTGTTTAAAAGTACTTTCCAACCAGAAGCTTTCCAATTTATAATAAATGCTACTGAGGAACCAAAGTCTTTGTTTTACATTCACAGCGACTATGGTTATTCTCTACACAAGATCGCTTCCAGGTCTGCGAATATGTTCTGGCCATGTCCTGTGTTTTGCTGGGATGAAACCAGAGTGCATCTTCCTGTGCCTAGCTTTTTATGAAAAAAATCATGGTGTCCCGGCTTTATATGGGAGAAAACCCCAACGGTTCCCAGCATCTGGGCTACACTAGAAGGAAGCATGTTGCACTCTTACTGATGCCCTGCTCATCCAGATCTGGCAACCAATACTGTACAGGGCACTGTCAAAAGCATCAGCTGCCTAGGCCAGAGATAGCCACCCTTAAAATTCAAGGTTGCTTTTGACACATTTAACATCTTGGATTTCCCAAGTTTCTCATGAAGCATCTAATGTTTTTACACCCCTCTCCCTCATCATCTATACTGATAATCCACAGTCCAAAATACCAGTGTTGCAAATACTAATTCCTAAATAGCAGCTTTTGTGCTTTGCAGCTTGTATTTCAAAATGGCTGCTCCCTGCTTGATGATAATACTAGCGTAATTAACATTTAAGGCAGTTAAATTTTCGTTAGTGAATAGAGGCTCAGTCTGGCACTTGAAATCTTGCCCTTGGAGCCCAGCAGAGTTAGAGCATTGGTTTCTGAGACAAAACAGTGTCCCATTTTTTCTCTGCAATTAAAAATAACCACTGAGTTTTAGATAATAATAGAGGTCAAAATACCCAAGAGCTATTGAAAATATTTAACCACACACAAATGGTACATATTTAAAAGGCCTTAGAGACTGGCATGTTACACAAACCAGTCAAGCAACTAAAACATCTTAAGCAGAAGTACAATGAATTGTGTACAGGTCATACATAAAAATGCAGATGGCTACAGGTAAACACACCAAGTTAATGCTGGTTGGCATTCACTCAGACCTTACTCCAGCGTTCTTGAAGTACTTTGCAACTATAGATTAACCTGTTTTATAAAGGAGGGATATCTCTAGCTTGTACTTATTTTTACAAAGGGTGAAGTAAGACAAAAGGTCAGGGCTGTAACCAGAAACGGAAAGGCAGGATCTGGGGCCCCAGCCTATTAATTTCTAGATAGCTCACCTTATTAAATAGAGTCACATATGGACAACAAACATAAACTGTAATTGGGAGTTCTCCAATTAAACAAATCCATTCAAAAAGCTAGATGCATATTTTCAAGGCTAGAAAAGAAAATTGTTTTAGGATACTAAACAAGCAACTGCATGAAATGTAGCTTTTTTATTGAGTTCTGAGATCTTAAAGAACTCTAAGTCTTGACTAGGTTCAAAAGCATTTTCTAAAGGACTGGCTTCGTGACGCAAGGGCAAAAAAAAGATTCACCATGGAAAGTTCACCAAAGTTCTGTAGGTTTTTAGAGATTACATTACTATGATGTAGAAAGAAATGGAGATTGATTTCCCAGAGAGGCTATGACTAACCTCTCTTTTCAGGGTGAATGAAGTATAGAAGCAAAAAGAAATGCTAAAGAACAGTAGTCATCAGTAGGCACGGATTTGTACTACAGCCTTCAATCTAGCAGGCAGCTAGTTTAACCCACACAAAATAGCTGTTCCTCTTCCTAAGTTTTCTGACTGGTGGGCTGGCTGATGAGACTTTATTACTTCTGCATCTGCTGTTCTGATAGACTAATGAAGAACAACTTATTATTGCTATTATTGTTGTTGCTGTTTCCACTGGACATGACATCAACTAGCATGGACACTTCATTCAGCACTGCATAGTAACAAGCAAAAAAACCAGTTTAGCTGGAAGACTTGCATCAAGACTCTCTCCCATATGGAGTTAAGCAAAGATCTTCAAAGGACCTTACAACACCCATCTTCCAGGACCATGAGGGGTGGGAGATGAGTTAGCAACACTGTGAAATATGTAGTGTGGAAATTTAGATATAATCTGAAGGTGCATAAATGATAGAAAGCAATCTTTTTTCATGAAGAATAGGTCATGCCAGATAGCTTAGACAACTTGTGCAAAATGACAGGATTAGTGCACAAAGGGAATGCAGCAGTTCTGATTTTACAGAAACATTATTTATGGGTTAGTGGGTAGACGAAAGTTTTCTGAACAGATTTTTACAGATCTAACCATACCCAGAAAGTTCAAATGGTTTCCTTTAGCCTCTACTTAGTGCTACTTTATAGGTAGTGTTTTGCTTTAATTTAATTTATCTAGACTTTAATAAGACTTTTGGTACTTTACTGCCTGGAAAATTATTACTGACACTGGAAATATGGTGCCTGGTTATGAATATTGCAATGAAGATATGAAGTTGCCAGACATATTGTAAACAGAGCATAATTACAGTATTTACAGTTGAACATCAAAATGGGAAGAGATGCCAAGTGGCATTTCTCAGAAGTTAATATTGGGACTGATACTATCTAATATCTTCCTTAATAATTTGGGAAATGAAATAAATTGTACATTGATTGAATACACAGTAGACACAAGAGGAAGATGAACTACAACACAGCAGGTGGGTAGGTTATAAAAAACCCAGAAAGAGCTGGAGATTTAAGACGGAGAGAGAGAAGGGTGCATTTAGAAGAGAAGCTATTTAATGTAGACAAATGTAGAATAATAAGCTCAGAGAAAATTAACACCCATCTCAAGTAACCAAATGGGAAAATGCCAATTTTCATTAAAAAAAAATCCAAGAGACTTCACAGTTTATTCACACTGAAAATTCACATTGGGGTATATGCATCAGGTTTGACAACTTGTTTGCTACATTCCAGCCTGATGTGATTTTAAAGGGAAGAAAAACAGATTCCCTTAAAAACCTGCCTTTTAAAATAAATTTTTACTTATTTTAAATATATACCGAATGCTCATAAAAGACCCAATTTACAGTCCTGTTAGTGGAAATAACATAGTACTAATGTAACATAAGAGACACAGAAGCAGCCCACAAGAGGTCCAAGATGGAAGTCAGGAAGCCAAAGCCCATCCGTCTCCAATACTGTCAAGGAGTTCTAAGTGTTCACTCTATGCAGCAGAGCAAAATCCATTAAATACTAGGTTACCACTGATTTGTTGACTTTAGTTTAGAAGCTCAACTATACCTTGTGGAAAGCTATTACTGTATAAAAGAAAGTAAGATTCTGAGGGATATTAAAAAAAAAAAAAAGCCTCAACAAATACTGAAACAAGCTTGCTGCATTAAATGACTACTGTATATGCTAAGGAACCTTAAATATTATCTGTAGGATGGAAATTGTCAAAAGAATGTACCCTTGCAATAAAATTAACCTGTAATTATATAAATTCACTAAGAATAGAAAACATTTTATGACACAAGAACCCCCTACATGGACTATGTTAGAGAACTGCTCCTGGCTGAGAATTTAAAGGCACACTATCTTTTTCCCATCATTATTTGGTTAACAATACTTACAATACAAGTACATTATTTTGTCACAGGACTGATTCATTACAAGAATATATAAAAACTTTATCAAACTGAGTATTACTTTTCTTCCTAACACAGCAATCCAGATATAGCTGATGCATATGAAATGGCTGATGTGATAGCAATCAACAGTATTTTTTTAATGTATGCTTAAAAACCTGCTTACCAAGGGGAGCCATATATTCTGAATCCCCTCACCGTCACTTCAGAGTCTTGAAGATAGATGCAGTTTGTTAGAAGAGACTGTACATTTTCATAGCTCTCTGGCTTCAGCTTAGAAACAGAGGGGAAATAGTAAAAGTCCTGCTTGATTAAGTCAGCCATGAATTCCTGGTCAAAGGTCAATTCATGATTTCCTGCTATCACAATCTTGTATTCATAGGGCAGGCTACCTAAAACAGTGAAAAACAAACAAATTACTTGTTTTATGGAAATTCTGACAAACGAAAACAGACAGACTCACAAACTATTATCGATTCCTATAATATGCTCACATATTTGAAACAATCGAGCATATCCCTACTATGTGTTACTGTAATTCCCGGTGATTTCAGGTAAATGACATTACTGTCTTTTTCAGGGCACACTATGATTTAGCATGCTTAGCATTAATGTGTTGAAACTACTTTCAACTCATCAACCTTAAAAACCAGCCTGCAGACTCCTGCTCTACTATTTACTGCTACTTAATTGCCATTTGTGCTGCAAGTATCACTTACTGTGACAGTGATGATAACTCTTTGACAGAAATTAGGGTTCAAAGAAGATCGTCCACAATGCTTCATAAAATAATGTCACCTCTCCTCTCCCAGACCTGTAGTCTTTATCAGTTTGTACTGAGGAGGTCTTACAGACTCAGAACTTGGGTCAGCCAGAGGGGTCTGCTGCCCTCTTCGCCCTGACATTAAGATCAAACCTTCAAGCAAGACAGGGATTGGGTTTAGCTGTCAAAACTCCACATTCCACACGAGAAGTCTCGCGGTTTGCCTCTATCCCATTTTTTTTCCTGCTCCATTTTCTCAGTGACTTCCTTAGATCCGTGGACTATAATTTAAAGTGACTCACGTTCAAGAATATTTTACAACCCGTATTTAGTGAAAAACTTTACAACAACCTCCTGCTGAAGGCAAGAATATATATGCCCACACACGTGGGTTCTTCCAGAGAGCAGCATTGCAACAGAAACTTTCCACCTGACTCTACATTTGGTTATCAACTGGATTCTGCCCTGGAGAGCAGGCATCACCTGTCTCAAAAAGCTCAACTTCTAAGTATATCTGAGAGGAAACAAAGACAGAAACTGTGTAAAGCTGCATTCAATAGCTTTGCTTCTGCACTATTAATTTGCATCAGAACGAGGACAGTTGGAACAGATTGGGAGCAGAAAGAAATATTTTACTGAAAATGAGACCCACCCTGCATAGCAGCAATTGTGTCTTTTTTTTATTTTAAAAATGTGTTGTTGATAACATAGAAACCTTAAGTGATGACCCCAAGCCTAACCTAGAGGTAGGATATTTAGAGAATGTAAAACACCAGCCAATGTGCAGTGGCAAAAGTTGGCATGAGTAGGACTTAAAAATAAAATGCAACAGCATGATTCAGGGTTACAGAAACAGAAGACAGAGAACAGTGCTAGCCCAGAGGAGATGCCACATGGCTGAACTCATTATTTGCCAAATGAAAAGATCTGGGTAACTCTGAAATATGTTTCAGGCACTTGTAACACCTGTATTAGGAAAATCGATTGTACAGGTTTCAGTCTTTCCTGTGGACCCAAGACATACATGCCTTTAGAATATTTATTAACAGAAACTCTTTTCAGATATTTATAATTACACGTTGAATGCTGGAGATTCAATTATTTACCTGAAAGACTAGCTGAGATGCAAATTTTGCCATTTTGGCTTCTGAAATGCTTAGCATTTTGCAGATGTGTACTCCATCTCTGCAAGTTTTCTGGGTGTGTGCACACATACACACACACAAGTTAAAATGTTACTTACAGGCCACAGTCTGTATGGGCATCTACAGGCCTTAAAGCATTCTTGGGAAACAGGAAAATAAAGAAATCCTGTATGCTGCAATATTGTTAACAATTCCATTTCTATTCTGTTTTGTAAATCTTTTCCAGCTCATCTGATCCATCCATCTAGCAGCCAAGAACCTGTATGAGCTGGTTATAGTTGTTGCTTCCACTAATGCATTTATGTCATGTTGCTGTCTGTGGGTGTTACTTAGGCAAATTAGCAAATTACTCTAAATGTACAGTTACATTTATTATAGTGGCGGCCAGAAGCGCTGCTTTAGTTACAGGTCTGTCAGCTTTTCAATTAACAACTGTGTTTTTGATGAGTTTGCAGCTCAGGTTTTTTCTTCTTTCATTCCATACCAGGCAGCAACTTGCTAAACCTATTTCCCTCTCTTTGTCTCCACAAGCCCTCTTTACCCTTTAAATCTTAATTTTTTGTCTAAAACGGGGCTATTTTTTGTTACTTGCACATAAATTTAACAATATTTTGTTTAAACTTTGCTCCTCAGAAGACTTTAGAACATGCTTCACTTTTCACTCCAAGTGCTCTCAAAGTGCAAAGTCAACCTTAGGCAGAAATCTTTGAACCCTTGTTCTTGGCTGGTCACTATTGTCATGAACTATAGGACGCCAGTTGAGCGGCTGCAGATGAAGACCCTCAGCTATCAGACCACAATATCGATTACATATTTCCCATCTTCCCTGCTTCCAGTGTGATCCATACTTACCTCACTCTAGCCCACATGCAGAAATCAACACCGAATGCTAAACATCTCTTTGCACTAAAGCATGGTCCTCCTACCACTGACCTCAGAGGGACCAACACCACCTTACTGGGGCAGGACCACAGTCCAACATGGTGTGTCAGCACAATCCTGAGAAATGGTGAATGTTTCAAATGCTTTTTATAGCATGAAGAGCCACCAAACACTAGCAATATCTGATCAATACTTACCTGAAAACCACCTTAAAGCAGCAACTCTTTCCTACTTCTGACCTACAACTTCTTACTTTTCCTTTTTATATGTTATTACTTAAACTGTTCTGTAATTTCTTATTTCATTATGACCTTCCAACATGGTTTTCCATCTCTAGGCACAGACTACTGCACAATTTGTAGCCTTGGCTTGGTCCTTGGCTAGGACCAAGACCTCCCCAAGAACACTAGCTGCTGTATGGCTCTGTTTCTACATCTGTCCATAGCTGTAGAACAACCACTTTTCCATCTATTATTTTTTGTGCCAGCAGCTCTTCATCAGAGATAATTTGAACACTTCCAGGTTGACCAGTTTATTCCCACACCTGCTAGTGGGAGCTACTGACAAGCTGGGTAGAAAAGACACCAGGCACATTTCCTGTCCCTCGTTAAACAAACTGAGCTGAGAATGTTGAATTCCCACTCGTGCAGGTTTTCATGGCTTCTGTAACAATTGCATTTGGCTAAGAAAGATTCCTACCAAAGACAGCAGTGGCTACAACATACCTATGCAGTGGGTTCCTTTTGTCTTCCATTTACAAACTCCATGAAAACAAGCCTTAGTAAAGGCAGTGGCTAACATTTTCATTTGCTAAGCTCTTTTCCCTTTTATCTTCTTCTTCTTTTCCAAAATAGCCATATGCTAAACATTAAGTTCCATGACTGCTCATCTGTGTGGGCACCAATGGTACTACTAGAGCAACCTTGAGCATATCATGAGTGACTGACGGCCCTGAAATAACAGCAATGGGGATGTGACCGTGGTGGTACCTCCTCAATCCCTCCAGTGAGAGGGCTCACTGCTCAGGTGGGAGTGGATGCACCCCACAGCCAACACAATGCTGAGTGGCTAGAGCTGCAAGCAGGCCTGTAGCTTCTCTGACCACAGGACCCTTTCTGAAGAACAAGGATTGCTGCGCAGGGATGGCATTCCCCTGGCAAACTGGGGCAAGAGTGTCTTTGCCAACAGGTTCGCTAATACCATGGGAAGAGTTTTCAGTTAGGTGTGCTGGGGAAGGGCTGCCACGCTGTGAAGAGAAGTGAAGGCATGCAGGCAGTGAGGGAGCACCTGGGGGACAACAGGATGGCAAAGGCTCTTGCGCTACCCTTGTAAAAGCAGCCTCACCGCGGCTCCTCTCAGGCACAGCATTGGGTACAACCAGGAGGGAGAAGTCCATGCACAGTGGAGAGCTGTGACATCTCTGAGATTATGTAGACGGTGGGATAGGTCACCTGACTGGAGTGCCGCAATGGATGGACACAGGTCTATCACCTTTGAAAAGGATTGGAGAAGTTCCCAATGGCTGGGAAAAGGTACATGTCCCACCCATCCTCAAGAAAGGCAAGAAGGGTAATCTGGGGAACTATATGCCATCAAGCCTCACATTAGGCCTCTGAAAATTAGGAAACAAATCTCCCACAAAGTAATTTTCCAAGCACATGAAGGTCAGGAAAGTGATTTGGAACAGCCATCATTGATTTAACATGGGTAAATCATACCTGACTAATGCAGTTGCCTTCTATGAGGAGATGACTGGCTCTGTGGATAAGGGAGAGCACTGGATGTTGTTCACCTCGATTTTAGCCTTTGACACAATCTCCCATAGCATCCTTATAGCCAAATCGGTGAGATATGGATGGATGATAAGGTGGGTCAAATATTGCCTGGAATACTGGTCTCAAAGGGCTAGAATCAGTGGTACAAAGTCCATCCAGCAGTCAGCCACTAGAAGTATCCCTCAGCTAGTGACGCTGGGGCCAATACTGCTTCCCATCTTTACTAACAGCCTGGATGAGCTGAGGGAGTGCACTTCCAGCAAGTTTCCAGACAACACCAAACCAGGGGTGGCGATCTGATGACCCACTCTGGAGGGCATGTCTGCTATTCAGAGGAACCTCCGAAGGCTGGAAAAATGGGCTGAGAGGAACCTCATAAACTTCATCAAAAGCAAATGTAAACTCCTGCACCTAGGATAGAGAGTAACTTCATTCAGCAAGACTCACCAGTGTGTCTTTGTGGCAAAGACAGCCAACCACATACTGGCCTGTATTAGTAACAGTGAAACCAGCTGAACAAGGGGAGTGATCTTTCTCCTCTGTCTAGCACTTGTGAGACCACATCTGGAGTGCCGTGTCCAGTTCTGGGTTCCTCAGTAAAAGAAAAAGACTAACAAACTGAACCAAGTTCAGCAGAGGGCCACCAAGATGGTTGGGGAATGTGGCATACAGGGAGAGGCTGAGATCTGAGTCTGTTCAGCCTACTGCTGTCTGCAACTACCTGATCTCAGGATAAGAGCAGGTAGAGCTAGGTTCTTCGCAGAGGTGCACACAGATAGGACACGGGGCCACAGACACAAGTGGGACCATGGTATAAGGAAACAATT